AATATGGAATCCTGCCGAATGCTGATCAAGAATGAATATATATTTAATTGGTTAACTGGTCTGCATGCTTCTGACTTAAAGTTTAATAATACTAACCAATATTAAAGCCCAGCTGGCAAGTCCTTTACTTACAAAAACATTACTCTTAAAGTTTAATATTTATGTTCCTTTACTAAGCCATATTTTAATATAATTTATTTGTTAAGAAATTCCAGCATATACATAGAGACATAGAGATACATGTTCTGTTTGTTAATATATGGCTATTCAAATAGGACATTCCCATCTTTATCGCTCCTGGTTAATCCGATGAAAAGCAGGAGGAGGAGGAGGAGTAGGAGAGTTCCAGGATAACAAACAAGCGATTGTCCAAGGAAATCTTAAGCTAATCGCACACATGTAAACACAGTGCTCAGTCCCTTAGATTTTCCCGGCATTTCCACACACTCCACTCCGCAGACGTTGTGTCGTGTAGATACAGTTCATTTTCCCCGAAAATTCTGTTTGTGCGTATGCTTAGTGAGTTTAATAATTCGTCACTCGTTCTTGCGGCTGGCTGTGCCTTCCGGATTTAAGCGTTTGTTATTAATCAGTCAGTGAGTGAGTCGAGTGAGTGAGTAGAGTGAGTAGAGTGAGTCGAGTCGAGTCGGCAAGCCACTGACCCACTTCACACCCTTCGGCTGGGGCATAAATCTCAGACAAAGCGGCGCATGAGTGATGTCAAATGCAGGCAAAGCCACTCCCACCGCTCTCCCTTTCTCCGCTCAAAGCATCATCATTAATAACACTTTTTAGTTTGCATATAAACATACATATAAGCATACGTACACACACATGTCAGGGCCTGGTCGGGCTAACAAATTGCCAGGACAAAATTGCAATTAATCAAGCAGACAAAAATCTGGCCCAGCCTCGAGCCCATAAAATGTACGCACTAAGCCCTCCTTTTTGCCGGAAAACAGTCCATTATGGCGGCATACTCGTTTGATTTCGTGGCCCCCGACTAATCAATGATTGAGAGAGCATTCAGCTCTAGTCATCGATAAGAGGAAAGGAAAGAGTCCTGGAACCCCTACCCCCTATCCGATTATCCTGCGAAAAGGAAGGCTAGAAAACGGAACAAGAAATAAGTATATATAAAAGACGACCCAAGAAATTAAATTATTTGTTAGCCGAGGCAAACGAGGCTAAAGGAGTCGTAGTCGGAGTCGGAGTCGAAGTCCAGCGTCCGGCATACAGGAAGCTCCAGGATGGCACACGTGTGTATGCCCGTGTGTGTGGGGGTGTGTGGGTGTGTGGGTGTGTGCGTGGGGAGATCTAAAAAAACGAGCCTGACAACAAGGCTATACAAATTGCACACACGCAAGCACTGAGAGAGAAAAGTACATCTTTTATATTTATTATTATGTATTAAAGTTACTGTTAGAGAGTCTTACAAAATTCAGTTCAATTTTAAGAATACTTTTTATAATTATTTAAAAATTGAATTGGTTAAAGTTTACCTTAATATATGTTTCATATAAATATTTCGAATTTTATTACATTTGTTTTTAAATCATTTCCGAATTTTTCATTATAGATACAATTTCTGAATCTTAATGCATACATTATTAGTTACAATATAACAAAATATAACAAAAAAGGAAGCTTAATTCGCAAACCCGAAATTTCATAATTTCATAACCAAGCGAAAAATTCATTTATTTCCAATCGGAAAGCTGTTCTGTGCCTGTTACCTTAACAAATCTGCATATTTACCTTAAATTTTATAAAATTGAAAATTTTCTTCATTTTTTAACGATGTAACCCCTTATAAAATTTGGAAAAAATATGCAACATTTTTTTTCTCCCAAAAATGGCTAGATCGATTTCCCTGTTAATGCTGATCAAGAATATATATAATTTATAGGGTAGGAAATGATTGCTTCACTGCTTAGCAAGCTTCTGACTATAATTTAATACCTTGCACAGGTATAAAAATTAGTTTTATGTCACTAGAAATATTGTTTATATATTATTTATTTTGCTCAGATGTTGCATTTATTTTTTAACCGTGTATAAACCCATTTTTCGTGTGTGTTGCTCTGTGTGTGTGTCTGTGATAGCTTCGTTCGTCTGGCTGGGCAACAAGTGAAAATCCATTTGTTAGAGGAAATCGTGCAAAAAGCTTAAATACGAAGCTTAAACATAAGTAGCAACGAATGCCGCACACACACACAACCACCCCTGAAACACATATGCACAAACACACTCATACACACACACATATGGGGCAAGTGTGTATATGCATATGTGGGGCAGGTCTCAGGCAGGCAGGCCAAAAACTTAATGAAGCTGCCTCCATTCCACCATCTTCAGGGGGGTTTGATCTTACTTTTTATAAGGGTAGCTCCACTTGCTATGACACCTGGGGTCTAGAATATAATATATATTTATATAAAACAAATTATATAGAGGTTCACATCTAACAATTATATTTGAAATATATCAAAATACAGTTTTCTTTAATAGTAATAATAATATTAATAAAATGCCTTTTAAATAAGGTTGGTTTAAAATATTTAAGAAAATACATCTTCATAGAGTATTTTGCTTGGCTCTGTTATTAAAATAAGATTTTTCTTTCTGCCTTTTTGCGCTTTCTCTGCTTTCTTCGTTGCCCCCTTTATGCTGTTATTGTTGTTGTTATATTTGTTGCTGTTATTATTGTTGTTGTTGGGACCACGTCTTAGCTTTTAACGTGTTTCACCGTTCGTTTCTTTCTTGCGCATAAAATGAGCAGGTAACAGGTAACAGGCTTGTGTGCGCACGGTTCGACTCCCTTGGGTAAATTTTCGTATTTAAAATATATGACCAAGAAATTTTCAAACATTATTTTTTAATTTTATTTTATTTTTCTTCTTTTTTTTTCTTGCCAGCCTCCCCCATACATATCCAGCAGTTTCCCCCAAACATTTTCGCTCGTTCCTTGCCGCAAATCAATTTGCCGAGGACGTGGGCGGGCGGAACCGGAAGGAGCAGAAAGGATTGCCAGGATGGATGGTTCAGGGAAGAGAGAGAAGGAAGAGAGAGAGAGACTGAAGTTGTAGACTTTGTTATGGCTGTTCTTGGTCCTGAATTTATGTTGCATTCGTCGGACTTTTCGGGGTCTGCAGTGGAGCGCATGCAAATGCATTAAGCCGCGAGATGGCTGCACGTTTTCGGGCTGTGGATTATCTGCTTTTGCAAAAAAATAAACAAGATATAATAAATAAGCCAAAAAAGATGTACATTTTGTGTATATAAGCCGCCCGATAATGCTCAAAGTGGGCCAATGATGTCGGCTCAAGACCAGTCAAGTGCCGGCTGATTGTGCCACGAATTGGTCCAAGTGATGAATATAGACAGGATATATGGGCCGGGTCCTGCTGCTTGATGCCACACTAAGCCATAAATGATATGGCCATAAAGGAATTAAGATGAACCTTTATCTTTGCAAGTGTATTTGAATTGTAGTTAATAGTTTGTAAATCATAAAGGAGTCATTTCCGACCCCATAAATCATATATATTCTTGATCAGCATCAACAGCTGAATCGATCTGACCATGTCCGGGAGAAAAAAAAATTTAACCATTTTTCCAAAATTTTATAAGGGGTTACATAGTTAAAATTTAAAAAAATCGACAAAATTTTAAATTTGTTAAAATGTTAAACTTAGTATGCAGATTTATTAAGCTAACAAAAACTGATACAGAACAGCTTTCCGAATTGAAATTAATGCATTTTTGGCCTAGCTAGGGATTTTTTAAACTTTGAAACCCAATACAAATAAAAAATTACGTATACGTAATTTTTTCCGATCTAACATAGAATATCACGTATACGTACCATTGTCCTTCAGACCCCTGATAATCTTGCCTTTAAATATCTAAAACTAGTGCTACGTTCAGTGATTTTTTTTTGTACCTGGAATATAGTTTCATTTATAACTTTTATGCAGTTTAAGGAGATTTTACTTTTAGTAATTAATTTATAATTTTTACTATAAACCGGATTATAGTTTCAGTTAAAGGCTCGCAAGGCAGTGAAGGAGACATTTCCGACCCCATAAACCATATATATTCTTGATCAGCATCAACTGGCCAATCTTCCTTACCATGTTAGAAAGAAAATAAATTTTTGCCATTTTTCAAAATTTTTTAAGGGGTTACATCGTTAAATTTTTCGAAAATTGACAAAAATTTTTAATTTACTTAAATTTTTAAATTTAGTTTGCAGAGTTATTACCCTAATAAAAACTAACACATAACTACTTTCCGAATTGAAATTAATGCTTTTTTGACTTAGTTATGAGATTTAATAACTTTTGTTTAGATAGAAAATTGTCATATAAAATATCAATAAATGTCGAGTCAAAGGCAGCGAATATTTTAAGAAAAGTTATAATTGATTTCCGATACGATCCTATAAATCAATTGCGAACTGCAAAGGCTTAAAGCCAAATTGTGTTGGGATGTTCATATAGCAATGAAATTGATCAAAATTGAGGATTGGCAACAGTCTCAAAATATTTTGTTCCGCTGATAAACGAAACTTGTCTTGGCCATAAAGATACAAAATAAAATCAAATCAAATAATCAAAAGTACACTAATTAGGGGCATTGGCATCTAAGGTGCTAAATTAAGTCAGAAATAGCTACAATTTGATGGTAAACATTTATTAAAGGCAAATAAAAATCACTTATAATAACGGAAATTATTTTATTTAATTAAATCTAAAGAACAAAATAGAGACTAACTCCTAAAACTGGGCACCTAAAACCCTGCACTTCAAGTTCCCCAAATTCATGTAATATAAGCACAGATCCTAAAAAAATCAAAGTGATTCAGTTATAGTTCAAGTTATAACTATTAGACTTCATAAAGATAAGATAACTCTTGCCCAAAAAAAATTCAATAAAAGCAGCGATGCTTGAGACTGTAGAAGTCAGTACCACATGGAAGACGCTTGGAAACGAACATGGACTCGAAAAGGCTTCTTCTGCTTTGCCTTATACAGGGATTAATATTCTCAACGAGTTACTGTGCGAGCTTGGATTATTATACCGCCGGTGTGGTGGAGTTCCGTCAATCGATCCTTGGTCTGGATGCCTGGTCAGAGAACCTGGAGGCCTATGTGGAGATCATTAACTCTGAAAATGCCAGTGCCACCGACATAATTGTCTTTCCGGAGAGCACACTGAATGCCCTGGGATCTACCACCTTTGTACCCAATCCAGAGGATAACATCAATCCCTGTCTAAATGGCAGCCACTACGAGGAGTTCCTGGTCACCCTTTCGTGTGCTGCCCGCAATGTCAGCAAGTATATTGTGATTAATCTCACCGAGAAGCAAAAGTGCGAGGATACGCCGGATGATCCGAGACCCTGTGCCTCCAATGGCCTGAATATCTTCAATACCAATGTGGTCTTTGATCGTCAGGGTGTTGTGGTGTCCCGGTACAGGAAGGTGCATCTCTATGCCGAGTCAAAGAACCTTACCTATCTCCCAGAGCTGGTAACCTTTGAGACTGACTTTGGGGTCACCTTTGGGCAGTTCATCTGCTTTGACATCTTGTTTTATACGCCAGCTCATCAGCTCATCGTGGAGCAAGGAATCACGGATTTTGTATATCCCACTATGTGGTTCTCACAGCTGCCTTTTCTAACAGGTGAGATGAATCCTATCCCTGCTCCTGATTAAAGATACTTATATTTAGCCTGTTCTTTTCAGCTGTTCAAATCCAGCAGGGTTGGGCCTATGCCCAGAATGTGAATCTTTTGGCTGCTGGGGCTAGTCGTCCCTCGGTGGGCAGCACTGGCTCTGGCATCTTCCACGGACGCCAGGGCACTCTGACCAGTGTGATGAAACATGACATCGGTGAGCGAGCCATTTATGTGGCCCAGGTACCTAAGATCACGCGTCGCAGCAGGAGAGCCCTGCAGGACACTCGTCAATTGCCGGCAAGCACAGATTTTTACATGATGCGAGATGCCCTGGAGATTTATGAGACTCAGTTGCTCCAGTTGGATGTGGGCAGTAATGGAAGCAGTACTGGCCATATTTGTCAGGATAGCTTCTGCTGCAACTATGACCTCGTCTGGCGACCGCAGGAGGGTCCTGTGGCGCAGAATGCCAAGTACTATAGCTATCGAGTGGGTGTGTATGATGGTGTGCGAAAGGATCAAAATGTGGATTCCAATTATATACGGAATTGTGGACTCTTTGCCTGCCTGGGCGAGAGAATTGAGGAGTGTGGTCTTCTGCCTGAGGAGGGAGTGTCTCCACAGTCTCCAGTGATTTTCACTCGGCTGGCTATTAAAGTAACTTATCCAGAGTCCAGGCATTTTCTATTGATACCAGACACTCTGTTGGATAATCTAATGCCACTGGAGCCCAACCAGTTTGAGTGGTCGCAGACCACTAAGGAGAGGTATTAAGAAACTTCCTTAAGAGATTTTTCATCTATATTTTAAATTGTTTCCTTTAGCTACCAGCATGAAGTACATTTTGCTCTGGCGGAATCCCATGAGCTGGGTAACCTACTCACCTTTGCCGTCTATGGAAATTACTATGATAATGACTGCACCTTTGGGATGGGCACCGAGGCAGAGCAGCTGGCCTGTGGCTATAAGGGAAACTCCAGTCCCTTGAGGAGCCTGGGACCTTGGCTAATAGCTATGCCGCTGATCCTGCTAGGACTCACTTTGTCAAGATGATAGAGATTGTACTTTCCCAAAAGAATGCCGCCTGAACTTCATATCTTTTTAAGGTATATAATCTTTTTTTCTGTATTTAGTTAAATAATAAACACACCCTGTTACTTTGTATTTGTTAACAAATTTATCTTAGAGGCTAAAAACGCTTCTCTAGTTCGCCTCAGAAAAGAAAAATCAAAAAGCATATACGAATTCTCTTATCAGAAACCAGCACTTAAAGCTTGACATTATTGATAAGTTATTAAGTGTTTAGATATTGATATGTGGAGATATATGATATATACATTCTTACACTGAGAGTCTTTAATGAGAGGAAAGTGTATTACAATTGAAAGAAAAGCTTTGGCTTTACATTTTCATATTTCCTATATTTTCCTTAAGCCTAAAAGTCTACATAATATGATTATATAGGAGCTTTTGTAAAATCCAAAACCAAGTGATATTATTCCCCGATTAGATAGAAAATCTGACAGAACACAGCTGGCACAAACAGCAGCTAATCAGCTGACCCAGAGAGAAGCCACTGGGAAAACCAGTTAAGAAACCAGTCAGTTCGAATTTCACCTTTGAATGAAGCACTTTTCATTATGTTCCATCTCTTCTGGCTCCTCTGGCTCTCAACGGTTTGTGCCGCCGACTTCTACACCGCCGGAGTGGCAGAGTTTAGGCCAGCGATAATGGGCGGCAGTTCGGAGCAGCTGCTGGCTGACAATCTGGCTGGCTACCTGGAGCTCATAGCCTCGGCCAGTGGCATGGCAGATATACTTGTCTTTCCGGAGGCCACACTCAACTCGGTGCTCCAGCTGACGGCTGTGCCGGAGCCCACAGAGCGTAGTTTGTGCGCGAAGCAGCCCGGCGATGATGAGTATATAGCACCGTTCCTACGACGCCTGGCCTGCGCCGCCCAAGAAGCCAACCTTTACCTGGTGATCAATGTCAAGGAGCGGGCTGCCGAGGTGGGTGAACCCTCCAGTCGTGGATATCTCATGTACAACACCAATGTGGTCTTCGATCGCCATGGAGCTGTGGTGTCACGTTACCGCAAATGGAATCTGTACTTGGAACCTTCGCTCAATCGAACTAAGGTACCCCATCTGGCCACATTTTCTACAGATTTTGGGGTGACCTTTGGTCACTTTGTCTGCTTCGACATGCTCTTTTATAAGCCTTCCCAGGAACTGGTGGAGCAACTGGGGATACGTCATGTGATTGTTACCAAGATGTTCAACTCGGAGCTGCCCTTTCTTACAGGTGAGACTGATACAAAATATGTTTTATAAAAACTAGAGATAAAATAGTTGAAAAGGCACTATTACCCACTATCAAAGTTGTAAATTTTGTACAATTTCAAGTCGAGATAATGTTCAAGTTCCATTCATTAGATTCCACAAAGAATCTATAGGGTTTTAGTAGAGAATCAGGCAAATAAGTATAAGTCAGAATGAACTTTAAGTTGCCAAAATGTCGTTAAATGTGCAACTATTGATTGCGAAAGTCGTTAGGGTTTTATACAGATTTTTTAAATAGTTATTATTAATTTTAATTACAGTGTTAAACTTCTTTCATCTTTTCTTTTATTTCCCGAAAAGGCTTACATGGAAATACTCTGGGAAGAAACCTAGCAATAAGATAAAATAGTTATATTTACAATTCAAAATTAACTCCTTTTGTAATTTCCAGCTTCTCAATTCCAGCAGGGTTGGGCCTGGGCAAATCGAGTGAATCTTCTGGCCGCCGGAGCAAGTCTTCCGCTGGCGGGGATTAGTGGCAGCGGCATCTATGCAGCTCGGCAGGGCGCACTGGTGCGTCTCATGGTCACGGATCAGGCTGATGGTGAAAGGAAGTTGCTACTAGCAACAGTGCCCAAAAATCCAGACGTGGAAGAGCAGGAAGAGCAGTACCGGGAGACAGAGCAGTATCCGGAGAAAGAGCAATCTCCGAAGAAAGCATCACCCATGGTCCTGAAACTGCTGCAGCAGCCGGAGCTCCAGAAATTCACCACCTGGGAGTTGCCCATGGTGGCGGGCAGTTCAGTGGAGAAGCGACTTTGCCAGGCGGATCTGTGCTGTGACTTCGAGGTGCATTGGACCCTGGTGGGATCCCCTCCTGGTGCTGCTCCTGCTTCTCCCACCTACCGCCTAGGGGTCTGGGTGGGCGAGAGGCGTTACGAAGAGGAGCAGTACAGCACCATTCGACTCTGCGGGCTCTTTGCCTGCGGCAACTCCAGCGTGGAGAGCTGCGGCCTGGTCAGAGACTCCGATGATGACCATGTTGAGTTCCAGCATCTGAGCATCCGGGGGAGTTTGTACACAAGCCGAGGCGCTTGATTATGCCCAGCACTGTGACCAGAGGTCATCTCTATGCCCTGCAGCCTTCACAGTTCTCCTGGTCGCTGGAGGAGTCGGTGAACGCCACCCAGATTGCAATGGAGCTGCGACAGGTCCATCGACAGCTGCTTACATTCGCCATTTACGGCAACTACTTCGATGAACATGCCAAAGGCGGAGGAGGGGAAATAGTGGATGCTCCGAAATCCCATTACCTGATGCTGCTAATGGCCATGATAACGATGATGCATCTCATCCGGGAGTGGTAGGGCTTATTAGCCAGAAATCGTATCGATCTCACATTGAATTATGAACAGGGATTGAGGGTTTTAGCAGGGGATATTGTACGATATTTGTTTAGATTTGATAGATTTTTGGAATATATACATATAATATAATAAATTAAAATTAAAATTAAATGAATGCCTTCAATGTTTTAAGAAAGTTTAAATTTATTCATCACAATTGCCTTGTATTGTTATTTAACTTTATAAATGGTAACATGGTTTTCAGTAACCAAAATAACATAACCAAATTTTTATTAAAGTAAGTGTTATTTATTTGCATCTCAAAATTAATTAATCCTCTTGAAAAATACATTTTCTTTAACAGAAAAATGTGCATACATAATGAATGGCATTCTAAACTGATTTAAATACTCTATTTTCGTTTTGTTCTATTTAAAACAATTATGTATGCAAAAGGCATGGGCAAATACCTAAATATCTATATATATACCAAAAACACTTGTACTTACTATTTGGTTGCTTGCAAAACTATTAAATTGAAACATGTCTATTAATTGCTGGCAATTTTCCCGTGAATTTTTCTTTAATGTTCGCCTATAAGTCAGGCAGGGTTAATAAAAATGTGATTTATTCTTGGGAGATGGGCAAAATGATTTCGTTCTCTTTGTCGCCTGGCAACTCATTAAAATCAATGCGTGGATGAGTGTGTGTGTGTGTTTGAGTGTGTTTGAGTGTGTTTGAGTGTGTGTTTGTGTGTGTTTGTGTGTGTTTGTGTGTGTTTGTGTGTGTGAGTGCTGCATTTGCTGCGGGCTGCACTTTATATTTGGCGCTGTTTGTGTAGTTACCCTTAAGCTGGCACATTGTAATTAAGTGTCGCTCAGACAAACACACACTTGCAGAAATTTTTTGATTTAATTGATTAATATTTTATATACAAAAAATATAACATTTTAGGGGTTAAAATGTATATAAAGTTTATATATTATGACTACAACACACAAGGAGTTATTGAAAGACAAAAGGCAACAAACAAAACGCAAAAAAAAACAAACTTATGCTCTTCCGTAATTGAAGCTAATTAATTTTAATTAATTAATTAATTTGAAGATAGAACCTGAAATATTTGGTGTTTTTAAATCGATATTTATCAATATTTTTTTTTATATGATAATTTTTTAAACAAATGAGATATTAAAAAATCCATAACTAAGTCAAAGCAAGATTAATTTAAATTCGGAAATCGGTTTTGTGAAGGTTTTTATGAGGTCAATAATCTGCATACTAAATTTAACAATTAAAAAAATCAAAATTTTTGTCAGTTTTAAAAAATTTAACAATGTAACCCCTTATATAGTTTTGAAAAAATGGTCAAAATTTGTTTTTCCCCGGATATGGCCAGGTCGATTTGGTTTTTAACGCTGATCAAGAATATACATACATATATGATTTATAGGGTCGGAAACTATTTCTTCAATGCTTTTTGAGCTTTTAACTGAAATATAAATACCCTGTTAACATAAGACCTATAAATATGTTTTTAAGGTTCCCAAACTTACAAAATTATTATTTATTTCCTAACTAGTTTCCTTAATTATTTTTGGCACAGTGCAGCCCTTAACCCACAGTACGTTGTCTATTTGGCTGTCTAATTTATGGAAATCGAGGCATCGGCAATGGAATGGTGTCAAGTTCGTGTCATTAAGGTGTGATTAACAAAAATTAGTTGCTGCTTAGGAGAACTCTCAAGCCACCAGCCACCCACCCCTCTGAGCGCCCTCCCACCCAAATACAACAAAAAACAAAAAAAGACACGTCCAGGCAAGAGCAACAGTGTGCCGACGACTGGAAGAGCAACAGCGAGCAACCCTCAGGCCCCATTCCTCTCCCTTCTCTCCCACCCATTCCACAAGCACTTATCATCAGGTGCTGGAGAAGCAACACATGAAGCTGGCGTCGCTGCTGGCGTCACTGGCTGCTCTGCCGATGCTACGTCGACGTCGAGAGCCGAAGAGCATCGAAAGTTTTCATTTCATTCATTTCAACTGTTGCTCCCCACTTGTTAGCACCCACGAGGCCGATTTTCCAGTCGTTTTCCGTTCGTTGGCGTTTGGTTCGTGCCGGGAAAGTGCGACTGGAAGGCAGGGAGAGTCGGCGCTTGGAGAGAATGAACACACCTGCGGGCGGGAGTGCGTGAAGAGCGGGTCGTCGTCGCCCCCAGTGTGTGTGTAGAGTTTGCCTCGTGTAGACTGCGTTATATTTGCCTTGAATTATTAACGCAGATATGTTTTATGGATCACAGCGAAGGCGCTGCGCTTTTGCCAGTCGTCGTCGTTACACCGCTCATCTCCCTCCTCCTGGTCACCTCTCTGTCCTCTTACCTCAGTCTCCATTTACCTTACTCTTCTCCCTTATCTCCTTGGCCGGCAAATGCAATTAACGGCGAGTGGTCGAAAGTCTTTGCGGCCCCGAAGAAGTTGACACCCTCGCGATCGTTGATCGAAGAATCTGGAACGGGTATGCTGAAATGTAAGTACTTACATTTTATAGACTTCAAATATTAAATAAAATATCTATCTATTCATCAATTTAATATACAAAGAAGGAAACCAATATTCATTTTAAATCGAATCTTAAATTATTATTATTCCTTATTTTTATATTAAAAAATGATAATTAGTTTGGTATTTAATATCCCGAGAAAATAAAGAAATTATTCAAGCTAATTCATTCTTAGTTCCTTCTATTAATATTCAATTTCTTAAGCACAAAATCAAGTGAAGAATTATTCTAAAATTTAAATTAAAAATAATTATTATTTTTGTTTATTAACAAATTTTAACTATTTTGCCAGAGAAAATAAGTAAATTAATTTGGATAATTTCATATTAGTTCTCTCTTTAAGGCTAGTTATCAAGTTAGAAACTCTTTGAATCCCTATAAAAATTTCCCTCATTTATACCGAATGCCAAATATCCAGTCATACCGTACATCTAGGGTAGCAAAAAGCGCAGTGCGAATGTGTCGCTCTGTTCCCTCTCGGCTAACGGCTTCTGAGCCGAGTCCAGCTGACTTCGGCACTCGTCGTTGATGGCAGCGTCGCTGCCATCGTTGACGCCATTGCTCTGCCGACGGTGCTGCCGCCGCCGCGTGTGCGTTGCGTACCAACGCTCTGGCGTTGGCGATGGCATTCTGCGGAAGCTTTCGGCGCGTGTAACATCCAAACATCCAGTAGGCGTTCAGCCTCCGAGCGGATAACATTACGTTGTTGTAGTTCTTGGAGTCAGAGCGGCACGGCACACACACCGAACAGTCACACACCGTACATCCCACACACACTTACACACAACAAACACACACTGTCAGTCACTCAGTCAGTCGGTCGGTCAGCGGATCGAAATACCAAAAGCAACAAAAAAAAATACCGTTCGTTAAATGCAATTTTGAAATATTTTTTTAAAGTTTTCCAATTATCAAATAATTAAATATTCGCGCGTGGCAACTAAATAATAAAGAATATATTTTTTTACAGTTTCTTCAGTTAATTACGGAATTTTTTGAATTGTTGAAATAAGTTAGATATGGGATATATTCCTACATAATATTTAGTATTTTTCTTTTGCCTTTTTTTGTAAATTTTTCCTGGTAATAAATAACAGTGCGCGGTCAGTAAACAAATGGAATTTTTGTTTTCAAAAGAAAATAGTGTGAATTTAAAGAAATTTTAGAAAAAACACTAAGTTTGTTCATTAAAATACATATTCCCATTGAAGTTTATAATTGCCATGAATAAGTAAACATTTTGAATGGGAAAATAAGAATTTTTGTATATATGTATAACAAATACTGGAAAGTTTTTCAAGTTATTTTTATATTGATTTAATGAATTATTAATTTTTTATGACTCCCACTAAAGTGTCAAGTTTGCGCGTTAAATAAACAAAAGTGTGGGCCAAGTTTTTGCCATATTTTTTAAAAGAAAATAATTGTACGGCAATGTAATGTAATTCCGCTGTAACTCGATTTTTTTATACTCAATTTTTTTGTAAGCTGGAAAACAGTTTCTGTTTTGTGTTTGTGTTTGCATTTTTCCCTTATTTTTTTTTTGGCAGCGAACGCCGTCGGGCGATTTACGGCAACAACAATTGCGAATCGAGACTTGTGAATTTCCTGGGCGCGCAACTTTTGTTTTGAAATTCTATATAGTTCTATATATACGGCGATCTCGCACAACCCAACACACACATACACACATAAGCATACACACGCCTATACCCTATACACCCTGTACACCCATTGAAGCCTAATGTTTGTTGTTTTTTTTTCGGTTATTGTTGTGACTTGGCAGAGACACCAGATAAAAGACAACATTGAAAGCTGAATACAAAAAAGAAATACAACAGCAAAAAAGTAAAAAAAATCATCAGCAGCAGCGGTAACAGCAAAAATTGAAATTGAAAATTCGAAAATTCGACAAGAAAAGTTGGAAAAGAAACAACAAAATAAAACGACGGAACAAGCGGAAAAGGAGAATCCAAGGTAAACAACCACGAAGGCCTTCGGAGCGATAAAAAGGTGAGTGAAATTTCAACTGGACACATTTTCAAACATTACGCATACGCAGTGTGTTGCAGGCGCTGCTATTTTCGATTTTGAAGTTTCCAAGAGACAAAAGCTTTTCAAATTTGTGGTGTAAACACACACACACAAGGAGATTTAGATTTTAAGCAGATTTGTGGTTAAAACAGTTTCGGCTTACTTCTTGTGAATACTTCTTGGGAGAAATCTTTCTGAAGATTTTTGTTTGTTTTAAGGGGTTTGAAGAATATTTGTGTTGAAAAATTTAAGTCTGTGATAGGTTTTGTTAGTGGTTTTCAGGAATTTAATTGGTTTTACATACGTTAGGTGGCAATTTCTAGAATATAACGTATACGCAGTGTACAATAAAGTTTACTTTGTAAATGCATTTTTCTGTTGAATATCTGAACTCTTAGATAGGTTTTAATTATGACTTCGAGAATTTGTTTGTATTTCACAAGAGGTTTGGTGGAAATTTGAAATTAATATTACGTATACGCAGTGTATATTGTTACATAT